AGCATGATGTAGAGCTGAGACACCAGCTGAATGCTTTAATTCTTAATTGGTAACAAGAGAACTTCCTACAAATCTCATACTCAATGGGATGCTTTTTAATTCCCCACCTTAGTCCTAGGATTTAAATTAGCTGCCTCCTCCAAGCCAGAGCTGTTTCCAGTCGCCCATGTGAATGCTATGTTTCAGATAACATAGGCCAGAGCTATGAGTCTCATGCTCAGCAGTAAGCTTTTTGGTCTCCTAGCTGAGTCCCAGGACTCAAATAAGGTAATGGGGAACAAGGGGGCTGCTGGATGCTCTACTGAGACGTTCACTTGTATGCTAGGATTCAGTGAAGCTAGTGAGAAGCAAGAGGGTGGAGGTTATTCCAAGCTTCATACTGAACTGGAAATTTTTTCACCTCCTACCTGAATGCTAAGCTCCAACTGAGTCAGGAGGAAGGGGGTTCAGTGGGTCTCTGCTTCAAGCTTGCTTGAAACTGAGAGCTTCTTCACTTCCATACAGAGTGTAAAATTAAGCTACGGGAGAGCAAGGGTCTCTTCTACCTTTTTGGGTAACCTTCCTAACAACTTCTCCTACATAACAAGGTGTGTCAAAAGGAGCCAGGGGCACTCAGGAGAGCTCCCTGAAATTAATTCCCAATCCAAATTACTATTAAGCTTTGAAGAAGTTAATAGGGCCAGGTGGAACATCTCTTACGCTCAGATGAGAGATAAATGATCTTCTGGGTGACCCTTATGCTTCCAGGAAGCTAAGAGAGTGAGCAAAAGAGTAGTTTGGCCCAAGGTTAGTATAAAAGTACAAAAGTTCTACTCTCTTCAACCATCCATTGATTTTTAATCTTAAAACTAGCTGTTAGAAAGCAGAGTTCCCATCTTGAGGACTTAGGCAGATTTAGGAGATCAGAAATCTCTGTTTCATCTCCTTGCTCCTTGCTCTTTTCTCTCCCAGCTTTCTGAGAATTTGCTGCTTTGGAAGCTCAAAACTTCTTCTATTTTTCATCTGATGAGGTCTTTCCGTGGTTTTTTGTTACCTTCTCATAAGCCTGAGGATAATCTGGAAATTCCAGATTCTCTCAGTTTCAATTCAGGCATATGACAAAATTTCAAGTATCTCAAGAGGGTTTTCTCCACCTTTCTGAGGGGTCATCATCTGGGAGTTTAGTGCTCTCATGGCTGAGTTTCCTGCTTGGCATAGGCTTTTAGCCGATCATGAAAGCATTGTGATGTTCCTTGGTAATCAGGGAAGCGTGGAGCTTAGAAAAACTCTCAGGGAGAAACCCTGCCCCAGTGAGTTAACCTAAACCAGATTCTCAACTTAGATAGAAAGGAATCTTGCATTTAATATCCATATAGCTCCTCGCCCACTTTCATGTTCCATGAAGACAACTGTTCATTTCCCTCCAAGGGTCAGGCTTACAGCATACTGCCAGTGGCTTTCAAATATATAAATTGTACAACATAAGACTAAGAACAGTACAATTAGAATCAAAACCAATTCAAAATTTACTCATTTCTCAGGCATAAAATCAGCCATCTGCTTATTTCTGTAGGCCACAGTGCTCATAAAGGCAGAGGGCAAAAACAAGATTGTTTTGGTCAGTTAGCACTGCTAATGCCCTGAATGACTAGTACTGAAACTTCTGTTTCTCTTGTCAGAGTCTTGATGTTTAATTTTAACGATGAGCTGAGTCAATAGGGTGAATGTTTGCCTTAACACATTTGCCTTTTCCACTTCTAGGTTAAAATGGCACATTGCTGCATTCCATTTATCCACTAGAAGGGAATCGTAAATATTCATTTAGTGGTGGGATTTGGTTTCATGAACTTCCAAATGTTCGTAGCTTATAAAGAATCTTCTACATCTAGAATGCAAAACACAGTGAACTGAAAATAATTCTATAAATTAGTTTGTCAACCTGCATCTCCCATGGTTTGAGTGACACTCCGTTATCTTTGCCTCTATAACTTGCTTTATTCAATAGACCAGTGTTTCTCAACCTTGGCCACTTTAAGATGTGTGGACTTCAACTCCCAGAATTTCCCCAGCCAGCCATGCTGGCTGGGGAATTCTGGGAGCTGAAGTCCATGTATCTTAAAGTGGCCAAGGTTGAGAAACACTGCAGGAGAGAGATAGACAAGCAGATATTCAGTCTGCATATAAGGAGGTGACAAAATGCATAGTTCTGCTAGCCACAGATGGTGCTGGATAACAGGAAGTGAGAAAATGACATATCTAAAAGGGGTACAGAATCTTGAGAGGTTCTCATTTTTAGATGCAGCTGTATCTCGTGACCCCAAATCCATTTAAATCAAATCAAAGCTGCATATGACAGATTTTACTTAGATCCCATGTGCTTCTGAAATGGATACGGATGCAATTTTTCACTCTAGTTTTACTCCTTCTGCGGTTTTATTGTTACAATAGTCGTTTGAGTCCATCTTGACTCCTGGTGACTATATGGACTAGTCCCTACGGTTTTCTCGATAGGATTTTTGGAAATGGTCTGCCCTGGTCTTCTTCTTTCTAAGGCTGAGAGAGAGGGACTGGCCCAGGGTCACCCAGCTGGCTTTGTGTCTAAGGCAGGACTAGAACTCACAGTCTCCCATCTCCTTCTACCACATTTTTAACCACTGTACCAAACTGGTTCCCTCTGAGTCTTTAATGCAGCTTAAATCATGTAAAATTAGTAGCAGAAAATGTTCAGAAGGAGCCAAAATAAGCCGCCTGTCATAACTTTATGTGATTTATACAGGGGCAGCAAGACAAAAAGAGAGGGAAAAAAAAGAAGGGGATGTAAGTTTTTACAAAGTTTTATGGAGTCCCTCGGCTCCATAAATTGTAAACACTGCCATCACCCTAAGCCAAAGAATCTTGTTTTCATGGAGGCAGTGAATATGTGCCTAAGAGTTATCCTGTGGCTGGTGTTCCTACATTTAAAAAAGAAATAAATCTTTGATTGCATGCGGGGCGAAAGGCTAACTTTCTTCCTATCTCTTGGTGGGAAAAGGGGGGATTATGGCATGACCTTAACTCTTTCCCTGCCACACTCCATTTTAGTTTTCAGTAAATTTTTGCATTTGCATTTTTCCCTTATAACAGTTTTATTTAAAAATGCGTTAAAAAGTGTTGAACGTTTGCATTTTTTTCTATTGCCCTAGTTATAAGTAAATAATTTGCTTATATTGCTTACTGCTGCTGAGTGTTAAATACACATTTTTAAAAAGATTATATTTAATATAGTTGTGGGGCTCAGCCTGGGGGATGGGCCTGGAAGAAAACTGATTTTTTAATCTCTTATTTCACCTTCAGCAGTTACTAGATATTAATGCCTTGTGGGTTAAGCAATGGAAGGGCTGAGGGGCACCATTGTTGGGCTGTGTTTAGGGTAGCAGTTGGCCTCCATCTGGCCCTGGGCAAGACTATTGTGACATTGCACACAGGTATGTAAGGGTTAGAACTTGTGTCACAACACTCATTTGGTGTCAGCCTTGTGAGGTAGCCCAGACAGGAAGCACCCCCAGGTGAACTAAATCTACTTTACTGTAAGGTTACATTAGCAGAATCTTGCAAGTCTGAAAGGACATTCCTCCCCGCTCAACTCGATAGCTCAAGAAACTAGGCAGGGTCCCTTCTGAGACCCTTCCCACACCCCTGTTCCTGCTGCGGGCTCAGCTACCTTTTATTTGACTGTTCCCCATCTGGCTGTAGCTCTTCCCACTGTCTCCCAGCTCATTCCCACCTACCATGACATTTGGTCATTCTGATGAAACCATCAGATTTTGCTGAAAGCTACTGAAACTGATTCCTGTTTGGATTAAAACTCAGGTTTGCTACGGCAATGAGAACCGAGCCCCAAATATACTTCATTCTCATATTCTTTGAGGCAGTGATTATAATTCTAAATTTCTCCTACCATTCTTCCTGTTTGGCATGATGATCTTCCCCCTTCTTCTCATAGGCTGCAGCTGGTAGCCTCAAATCCAGTGGGTTGTCCTCCTCCTCCTTCCATGGATGATTCAAAATAAATTACCTCTCATCTGGTTACTTGTAAGTCCTTTGAAAGTGGAAAGCTTGACCTTGGAGTTGCAGATCAGCCTGCCAGCTATCCCAAATTAGCTGGAATATTTATGGTTTGGGGCAGGGTCATCCTGCCCAAAAGGCTTGCCCCAAGAAATCTTGTGTTTTCCTTCTTAACTCTAGCAAGGGAGAACAATGGAAGCCAGAGCTAGGGATAAAGCAAACTTGAGATAGGATGTTCCTCAGCTAGGTGGACAGTGTGGTGACTTCTATGCAAGGATATCTTATATATGGCTCTTGTTCCTTTCTTGCCTGCCAGTGAAAATTATTCTAAAAATTTATTACACCTGTTTATTTTGGACATCTTGGTTTTGTTTTGGTGTTTTGTTTTTTTTTGGCCCACCAAACGGGTTAGAGTTATCAATCAAAAGTTAACAGTTATCTCTGTGAAGTTATGTGCCCATGCTTTTATCACAACAAAGATATTACACTGATTGATTCTATCCACAGTGGGCAAAAACCTTTTGGACTTGAGATTTTAACACTACTAGCAGGCAAAAGATAAGGAACAAGAGCCATGTGTGTGTGTGTGTGTGTGTTTTGTGCACACGTCCATGTATGTGTATATCCATGTACATGCATCCATGTACTGTGCCCAAAGCATCAGAAAATGCATTGCACATTGATATAGTCTGGTTTTAAAAAAATAATATTTTATTTGCAAGAATGTCTTAGGTCTTCAGTCACGCTCTTTTTTTAAGCAAAAGACAATTTTGGTATTCTCAAAAACCGCTTAAGCCCTTCAGTCCTTGGTTCAGCTCCATCAGCTCCCAGTCACGGAGACATATTTTTTTACTCTGGGTATAGGAAAGAGTGCTCCCACAATGCCAAGCCTAGCTAGTGCCTATTAGCTTCGATCCTAGTTAAAGTTTTTTGGTTTACTCGTAAATCTTTTAAACTGAAAAGTCTTGATACATCTGATTTAGGAATAATTTGCAGTTCTTTAGCAAGAGTCAAGTAATTAGAAAAAAATTCAAATGCCAATGGCTGTTGGACATACTGGTAAGTATGCTGTTAAAGGTTGTGTGTATTCTGTCCAGAATTCACCCCTAAGGACCTTAAAACCTATTTTTGCAAGCCTGTTTCTCACAGCGATGAAAATAACCTTCAAACTCCTACATCTTCAACACTTCATATTCCCAAAATGATTGAAGCTCTTCTTTCCTACCTGAGGCCCTTCGTGGCCCTGACACAACATTTCCAAATTCCTACTGCTGACAGTCAAGGGACAATGTGTGGATATTCATTTCTGTGTCTGAGTTCGTAAGGGGAAAAAAAGATGGAAGAAGTTGTAAGCAATTCAATTTAACTTTTTGCCCTATTCCTGAACATCCATGAATAGGGCAAGGGTGAGGGGAGATATAAATCTCATTTGGGAGCATTCCTAATTCCATTTAGATATGACACCTTCTAATCAAGTTGGAACCATAGATCAAGTTATGAATACCATGTGAATACGATATCAATGCCATTGTAAGTTCAATCCAAATGTGCGCTCACTATCTTCATCATCTTATCTTTATCTTTCCCTACAGCTACTCCCACAGCCCCAACTGTGTTCCCACTGTCTCCTTGTAGCCAAGATGTAGCCACTGCCTCCCAAGTTAGCATGGGTTGTCTCATCAAAGGCTACTTTCCCGAACCAGCTACGGTGCAATGGAACTCAGGTGCCATCACCAGCGGAATCCATCAGTTCCCTTCAGTTTTGTTTCCATCTGGCCTCTATACCCACAGCAGCCAGCTCACCGTCCCCATCAGCCAGTGGAAATCAGACTCATTCCAGTGCAACGTTAACCATGCAGCCACCAGCTCCAGAATTACCAAAAAAATTGAGCGTGAGTCCAACGAAGTTATTATCCTTTTTCCTTCTAAAGGACAGTTGATTGGTCAAAGGCAAGAAAAGTCAAATATGAAGGTAAAGAAGTAGGAAACTGTGGCAATGGTCAAGGTAATATTTTCTGACCTGTCCAGCTATTTGCAAAGAATGTGGGAGGTGGGGGGATTCATTTCAGCTTTCAGGTCTGGGGGCAGGTTCCAATATTTGTTTCTTAAAAGTAATTTTGGGACGAGAATGATTTCAGAAGTCATGTTTTGGTGGGCTTTGACACAATACATTGTCAGGTTTTCTTCCATGCTTCACTGAGTTAGTTGCTCCATTATCTACGTGTAACTCAAACTGCTTTGGCATTTCAGCTGTTTATCTCAATACTCAGCGTTCAGATTGGTGAAGTAAGCAAAGCAAGAAGGGCTTCTAGTAATCATATCCCATATCCTGGAATGACAGGAGGAAATGCAGGAGTAGCCATCAGTTGTGGAAGGAATCAAGGCAACGCTTGTTAGATGTAGCTGAGGAAAACATGCTTTGAGGAGAGATTCAGAAGAGAGAGAGATGCCATGGTGAGAGGTCAAGGATTTTCAAAGGATTAAATCAGAAGACACTTAGAACAATAAGAGAAAAACTGAGTAAACTGATGGATGAAGGATAGGGGTTGTAGTGGTCTACTAACCAAGGGGCTACCTTCATTTATACTTTCCTTCTTCCTCACCCTGTTATACTGAATAGTAGTTGAATGTGTCATGTAATTCCTCCTCCTCAGGTGCTCCAACCCATGACCCAATGCCCCCCGAGGTACGCCTTCTCCATTCTTCATGCAATCCCAAAGTTAGTGATGGGATCATACAGCTGGTGTGCCTGATTTCGGGTTTCTACCCCAAAGAGCTGAACGTTGAATGGCTGGTGGGCAGCCAACAGGTGATTTCATCCACTGAGCCTCCCAGGCAGGATGTAAGTGGGTACACTTTCAGTACCACCAGCACGATCAACGTAACCCAAGCAGATTGGCTGGGAGGGAATACTTACTACTGCCAAGTAACCCATGCGGGGTCACAAACCAAGATGAAAAGCAGAGCCAGGAAATGTGAAGGTAATAATGATGCAATGCAGAGTCTGGTTTGTATAAGTGAGAATGGAATGAAAATAGAAAATCAAGGATAAGGATAGCTAACCTTTTTACAAAACCTGCTGTCTGATCTAGAAATCCATACCATTTTCAATTAAGCTTCATTAATTTAAGGCTTCTTCACCTCTCCAACAACCGTATTTGGGGAGAGGGGGCATTTTTCTGGTTCAATTGGAAGGCAATATCTGGGCATCAATCCAAATTTCATTTCATGAGCCTTGGTAACTATGCTTTTCCCCAAGCAGGGGACATTTTATGACACTTAGCATTCCATATTCAGTGGGAAATCTCTATCCAGAAGATAAGACAGCAGATATGAATAATTTGTTGAGGGTCACCTGCTCTAGACCTGCATCTGATAATGGAAATCTAGTGGCCAATTGTTCTTTGTTACTGATAAGATATTGATATGAAAATATGATTGGGGTGGGAGGTATAAATGGTAAAAGAACATTCCTAAGAGTAAGAGAGTTGGATAGTGGAAACAATGATGCAGAATGGTGTTGGGCTCCCTTTCCCTGGATGACCAGCCATTGGTCTGATAATCTTTAATTTGGATTGAGCAGAAGGTTGAACTCCATGGCCTAAATGACCCCCTCCCAACTCTAGGGCTCTTGGCAAAGGCCAAGGATATTAAACATCTCCTTTTCTTCTTCATGATGTGTCATCAGGTAAAGGACTCTTTGTTTGTTTCAATTGTGCAACTGTTTAGGAACCCTAAACCACAGGCCTTTGGGAAACAAGGAGAAGCTAGACTGTTGTCAGTTTAAAGGATGATGGGTTCCTGAGGGAAGAAGAAAGAAAGATGGGGAGGAGCCCTTTCTTACCTGTAGATTCACTGAATATGGTAGCCAATCAGCAGCCTTAGATCTCTTCTGCTGTGTTCTTGGTAACTTCATCCAATGTTGGAAGGTCCAAGTGAGAGGCAGGAGCAGATTCTGAATGAACAAGCTATGCCTCCACCTGGAGGCAGTGAATTTGCTTTACATTGATCTTATAATGTTATGACATCCATGATTTATAACATCCATGATTTAGGTTATTTGTGTAATTATGCCATTCAGTTAATGACCCAAGTTAAGTCATTGGTGTCAACCGGCTTTCAGATCTAATGAACTTTCAGGAAAAATGAACCCCCACTTCCTGCAGTTGGTCCAGAAAGTGGGTTTTATAGTAATGTCCTTTGTCTTTAGGGCATATGGATGATAGAAAAATCTATGTTATCATACTAGATAACTCTAGTCATAAATAAAGAGGCAATATCAAGGGACCTATATGTACTAAACTTGAAAGCAGCTCCTGTAGAGAAAAGATCAAGAGCCTGATGGGATGGGGGAAAAGTGAGAGCTGAATAGGGAACTGACTTTAATTTTTTTTATCCTTAGATGGCAGTAGCTGTTCCTCCAGTGCTATTAATGTGTATATTCTGCCCCCAACACCGAGAGCCTTGTACACAGATAGAAATAGCAAGCTCAGCTGTGTGGTGGGCAATCTGGAAAACGATCAGAGGTTGAAATTTACCTGGTCTCGGGGCAAGGGTGGAAATGTAAACCCTGATTTAGCGGAAACAACAGAAGAACAGAATGGTACCTACACCATTGTCAGCCGCCTCTCCGTCTTCCCCCATGACTGGGACTCGGGAGAGATTTTCACCTGTGCAGTGGAATATCCAGGCTTGGCTGTTCCCATCACAAAGATAATTTCCAAGCTCGCAGGTAAGGAAGAAGTTACCTTGCCATCCCTCATTTGAGTCAAGAGGTTGTAGGAAAATCTCTGTAATATATGGTGTGCACTGCATGCTTGGAGACCTGAAAAGGCATGGTCAGTCATGTGCATCAACAATCCAGAATATTTTTATTTATTTTATTTATTTATTATTAAATTTGTATGCTGCCCATCTCCCCCAACGGGTGACTCTAGTTGGATAAATACATCATGTGAACAAAACTTGCTTTTGGCTTTGTGCAGTGTGTGACTCTAGTCATAGAATGGCCTGCAAAGCATGATTTACCTGAACACTGGGCTTATTTAATGAACAGTGGCTAAAAAACATAGTTTAGCAAGAGATGTGAACCATTTATTGCTGCCACTAAGTTGTCCTACATTTCATCATTGTGTTTCTTTCCTCATGCTTCACAAAGGCAAGAGCAGTGCACCCAAGGTCTCCATCTTCCCTCCCCCCCAAGAGGAACTCAACCCAGGCAACATTATGAGTCTTTCCTGCATGGTGAATGGGTTTTCCCCAGCATATCTTGATATCCAGTGGCTAAAGAATTACAATCCTCTGCCAGAAGACAACTTTGTGAATACCCCAGCTATGAAGAATAACCATGAAGATTCCTTCTTCGCCTACAGCAAACTGAGTATCCCCAGAGATGATTGGGAACGGTCCGATGTATTCACCTGTATGGTGGTCCATGAAGCCCTCCCCATGAAGTTCACTCAGAGGAACATGTCAAAATCTCAGGGTAAAAAATGAAGACTGATCTCAACCAGCTTCTCCATTTCAATCCATCCTAGATTTGCCTCTAGTACTGTCAGACCAAACTGTTAATTATTTCTCTACTCACCCATTTGGCTTCTGGATGAATAAAAGCAAACCATCTCAGAAATATCTCGAGTTCTGTTCTTTTCTCCTTAGGGGTGAGGTCTAGAAGGGGAAAGGGGATAATCTGTCTGAAAAAGCAGAGTCAAGGCTTAAGGCTGATAGTCTAAATGGAGTTCATCATTCTTCTATATGAATCCCAAGACCAATGGATTTAGCTGGTGTATGTGTGGGTACCCCAATTTAGCCTCACTGCAGTGAGAAAAGAGTGGAATAGATGCGTCTAAACCAACGTGGTGAGCTTTAGTGGCTTTCAGTGGAGATTTGAACCCATCAGGTTCAAGGACAAGTATCCTCTACTATCCTCTCTGCTCCATATCCACTTTCCTATATTCTTAAGAGTGCCCTTCTCTGTATGTTGGCTGCTTAGCCCAAGAGCAAAAGGTCCAAGTAGCTGAAATACATAGAATTGTAATTATTGACTGAAAAGCTTCCCATCGTCCTTGATCCAACCACATCCTTTGGCCAACTGCTTCTGTGCCATGGTTTCTCCATGGAGTCTAGCTCTGGACCAATCAGTCGGAGCAAAGCTACACTGTTCTCTGCAGGTCCACAACCTAAAATCTGTTTCAGTATCAAGGATTGATACCTAAGAGAAAATAGCCAAAGAGTCCTCAAGGGAGACTCTCAATAAACCGTTATAAGGACATTATGATCAAAACCAAAAGGATAATAAATGAAAGGTCAAATTCCCAGGCCAAAACGGGGGACTTCTAAAGGATCAACCATGGCAGGGAA